GAGCTATTGGCAGGTGAAAGGAAGGACTCCCAGAAGAGAAGAAAAAAACGGAGAAAAGACGAGAAATCCCTTTCTGCTGCCAGCGGCTGGGAGTTTGGTGGGAAAACAAAAGGCGGAGCACAAACTTCTAAACATGTTTCAAGGCATGTCTCACCAGAGCTCACAGTCCCCCCCTCACCAAAGCTCACAGTCCACCCCCGCCATCGTTGCTTTGGAGAAACGACCACCTCAGGAGAAACGGCTGCCAACCTGGCTCAGTTTGCTACCTCGCAACATCCCACTTTTGAGCCCGTGCTGAAGAGGGGAAGCAAAGATATGCAACCGATGCAACCGGAGCTCCACCTCCGACCAAAGCATGGCTTGGAAGGGAAGCTAAGGCCTATGCACCTGCTTAGCTTCTCTAGTGAAGTTGGTCTGGCCACCCGGCGCGTTGCAGCATGTGCGGCATGCTACACCAAGCACGGCATGCTAGACCACTTGGTACGGCTTGTAGTTAGTGTGGGCAGCAAACTCATGGCTTCCAAACTCTTTTCCTGACAACTGAAAGCTGTGCAGACGGTTGTTGGTCTACGTCCCATTTTGATGCAAAGAGGTAAAAGCATCCGCCAGATAGAGAAATCCAAAAAGCCACGCACGGATGGACTCACTCTTCTCCCCGAAGTGAGTTGAGAAGATCGGCCTGCAACATTGTAGAGCGACATGGACCCCCTATGACCCCCTTCTGGTCCATTTTGCTGGACACGACTCCATTTTTGCTGCCCGAGTTTGGAGGCAGCACCCAAGAACCAAAGAGCCCACGTACTCGTACCTTGCTTGGGTAGGGAATGCCTGACAAAGCCGTGCCAATGCTGCTGGCCAATGCTGCGTGTTTTGGAACCCTTCCACCTCCTGGATGGTGTGCTTGTGCGAGGCCTATGGAACAAGGAGTGACTTGTGGAGCTTGGGCGTGTGGTGTCCCAGCGGCGTTGAGAAGCGAGAATGGAGTGTGGCACACTGCCAGTGAAGTGGTGGGTTTGTCCGGGCAATGAGTTATGATTGTTGTTTACACGAGAAACGTCTTTACTCATTCCAGATATACTTAATACTCTGTTATGTATAGATTGAAACATCAAAAAGGTGTGGTTTGGACTGCCCGTCGTGTGCTTTTCGGCGCCAAACCACTCCCCCAGCGCGGGCGCTGGGTGAGGTCGGAGTGTGCGGTCGGTGAGGACGAATGAAGTCACATGCCCAAGTGGTCACGGAGCTCCAAAAAGGCTGGCTAGACCACCTCTAAGTGAGTGCCCTTGGGCAGGTCTTCCTACCTCAACCATTCTCCAACCCTTTGGAACCTTCCAAAAGCTATTTTCTGGTCGTTCCAAAACGCGGCACAAAAATGAACTGAGCCGTTCTTCATCAGCTTTGGCAGGTCGTCACCTATGAGCTTTGTGCCTTGCGCGTGCCCTTTGGCGGGAACTCCTTGCCGGCCGTGGCCATGAAGGCAGGTCGTCTCGGCGACGGTGACGCTTGGAAAACAGCTAGATGAGAGGTGAGAATTGGAAAGAATTGGACATTTTGCTGATTCTAAATGACTTGAAGAGGAAAAAAAGCATGAAAAAGCTTCCTTCTCTTTGGGTCCACATGACTTGGCAGATTGAAGCTATATAAGCATGTGCCAAGAGAATTCTTTGTGGCTAAGTAGCGTGTATCATGTACCAAAGTCGATCAATAGATCAGCACCGGACCTCTGCTGCGGACACCGGCGCTGCTTCAGATCATGGGTGCTGATCCCGAGCCCTTGGCGCTGCGTTCGCCAGAGCTCAATTGGATCGCACCTCGTCATCAATCCACGACTCCCGTACATGGAAGCAAAGACACCTCATGCATCTAACACTGTCTTAGTGCACGGTTCATAATAGGTGATCATATTTTCTTCTATTTGGGTTCTGACATTCGTGAAGCCTATCGATTTGCTTCGCTTCACGGTACCTCACATGATGTATCTCCCACTGATTCCGAAGCCATTTCTCCACCCGTAGGTGATGGAAACTAGCACCAGGTTACCTTAACCACGAGAGGGGTCCATAACCACGACAGCTAGTCTCGTAGGTGATGGACTGTCCACCTACTCGTCCGACCTGGGGCCGGAGTGGGGTGGGGCCGGAGCTTCCTGGAGCTTCCTGGAGACACCTGGAGCTTCGACACCCGACCCAGGTCATGAGTCTTCTCTCCAAGGAGCCGAGTCAACGCCCTCGCCTTGAGGCCTGGGAGACGATTGCGAGACGTCGCGCGCCTTTTGTGTTCTCGCATCGTGTGTGTGCGGCTGGGAGGAGATGGGAGCGAGCGGGGGGGTGAAGGGAACTTGTATCTATAGGTCCGCACTGTGGCTCCGTGGCTCCTGTAAGGCATTGGCTTTAGGCCAGGTGGAAGAACTGATTTGGTCCCAAAAAGCTTCCCTGCTTGGATTTCTTCGTCCGGGTCTAGGCCGTGCAGCGCTTGCCCTTTGTCCAGAAGTACATCGAGGTGGATCGCCGGATGGAGATCATCTCCCAATCAACGCATTGACAGCGGATTGAGTCGGATTGAGGTTTCCTGGATCAACGAATTGAAGAATCACTATAGTCTTTTGGCCCTTGATAGTCCTTTCGACTCTGATGCCCATAGACCCCGACAAAGACCAGCTCTATTCGCGGAAGAAGTCACAAATCACCCGCTGATGACCTGAGGGGATCCATAGACTCCACTAAGCTTGTTACATCTTGTTACTAGTTGCTTCAGTAGTTGCTTCTTGCTACGAACATATAGCGATGCAATGCGATGCACCTGTTGTGCGACGCCCTTGTTACCTTGTTGCGTCCTTGCTTCCTCGCTTGATCAAAAGCCTCTTCTCCTCTTACGCGGCCCGTGTGGCGCTGCTGCACCACATCGAATCGCCGGCTTTTCCGTTGAGGAGTTGCTTTCGTACTCCCGGGAGACGGGCGCTGGAGGATGTGAAGCGTGGAAGCTGAGCGCGACGTCGCCGGAGATTGGTCGTGGCGTTTCGACCGAGCCACGTGGTGTTTCGTGCCATTCAGAGGTGGGGGGAAAAACATGGGGGACACAAGAATTGCTCGAGGTAGTGTATGGCATATGTTTTTAATGTTGCAGGTGGTCACCGACCTCAAAGCTTGAAGTGAAAAAAGATACCGTCTATACCCCGAAGGGGTGGTTAATGGACACCTCTTGACCTCCAAGGTGCTATGAATGGACACCCTTTCCGTGGTGCTGGTATATATGAGATATGAAGTGATGCATGATATATGATATGTCTTTTTGTTGCACATGTTTTCAATGGGAGACGATTGAAGACTGACCAGAAGGATGGTACTGTCATGTGGAGGGTGCTACTTGTCATTCGGGTGTTTCAACATGATTCATCGGAAGGCGGAGAACATGAAAATTCTTGACGATGAACATCATGTCCTCTCTAATGACAACAACATGGACATAGGACCTAGGTTGGAGGCCATCGCTACGAACGTAACAAGAAGCTATGTAGGAACAAGTGCCACGCTACTAGTAACAAGTGCCTTACTTACTAGTAACAAGAAGCTACTAGTCCTCTGTCTGCATCCACCGACCAGGCCATGACCGAGCGACGGAGCCGCCGGACGGAGCCGGACGGACGGGCCGAGCCGTCGGTGCCGCGCCGCGCGGCGCGGGTTGGAGGCCGGGCTCCACTGGGACGAAGCTGACGATCAGGTGAGTCTATGTGGTGAAGTCATCTATAGAATCCGGAGGTGGTCTAGCTCGTTTAGCTGTCTATTTGTGTGTTTTCTTTGGGGGATTCTTTTGCGACGTTTTCTGCGCTCCAGTGAACTCTGTTAAACGCCCAAAGAGTACTTTCCTGGGAGGGTTTTCCCATGTTTCCAAGGTCCTTGCAGCTTGCAGCGTTGAAGTTCTGTTGGGAACAGACCTGAGACAGACACCTTGAGGTGCCCGTTCTTAGACTCAAAGACCTCATCAGCGAAGACGGCGAAGACGCGTGAAAACACCGCAGGTGCGCCGCAAGCGTTGGAGCGGAAGATTGAGGCACCCGGGTCGGCGAAGACGAGGAGGGCCGGCCGGTGAAGGTGTCGAAGTTCATGTTCGAACTAAGGTAATCCAGGGCTGAAGAGTGGACAGGGTGGATTTTGGAAGGTTGACGGGTGCTGCTAGGGTTCGATTTCATGGCGACACCGGAGACATTCAACCGCCCGAGAAGGTTGGCTGATTTGGGGGGTGTCAAAAGGTTGAGTTTTATTTGGAGAATCAGTCAAGAGAGGTCACCAAGACTAAGTCTCTTCATGAGGAGAGGGATCCCGGAGACTAAATCTCTTCATGAGGAGGGATCTCAAAGATTAAATTTCTTCATGAGGAGGGATCCACAAGGCTAAAACTTTGCACATATCATCACATATCCACCAATTTTGCCAATGAGCTTCACTATGAGTTTCCCTGAATGGACAATGCCAAAGGCATGAGCGAACCATGAGCCAGCAGGAGCAAAAGGATTATTTGAAGTGTGTATTTATTAGAACTTGGAAAGGAGAAACTATAAGTAAAGTAATGTGCAATAGGACCATATTTAGGATGAGGGACTGGTGAAACTAAGAGAGGGACTGTGAAGGCAACTCTTTCAAAAGTCTCAGAAACACTGGAAAGCATGGGTCTTGAAGAAAAGGAAGAAAGGCGCTAGTGTAGCCAAATAATTGTCCCCAAGAATGGTGGACCAAACTGATTGGGGGGGATTGTGTCCAAAAGTTTGGCTCCCAAGCGGACCAAACCAATTGGCGGGGTTATGTCAATCCCGTTTTTCCACTACACAAGACATCCAAGCTGACAATGGTCTTGGGAGGCGCTGTTTTCTTACATGTTCTTGGAAGCAGCTCCCCTCCAAAAGAAGAAAGATTCTGCTTTGGAAGGCAACGCCAAAACGATGTTTTAAGATGTTTTAAGGCAGACAAGGGGCTGTATGGTATTGCATACTTGTTGCACCCCTGGGACATCTACTGTTGTCTACATGTAGAAAACAAGTCCTGTCAGATTTTTCAAGTATTCTCACGTTCCAGATCGCAATTTTACATCCCTACGGTTTTCACGTCCCTTTCCAAAAACCATCTCCTGATTGCTTCCAAAAGGCGTCCAGATTGCATTCACATTGCGTTAATTCATCTTGTGTTGAGTTACGTCCAGGTTGTGCAACCTTCGGGTATGGACACCGATAGTTGTCCCAGGGGTGCAGCAGGTACAATCATTTGTTTGATTGAAATCAAAGGACTTGAGAACAACTTAGTCATTGTTTGATTTGAGTCCTCCTTTTCCATGATGCTCCTGCTTCTTTGCTCCACCAACGAAGACGTGAAACACTGTCATTTGTTTCTACGGAACTCAGCGAATGGGCGGTTCCAGTAAAAAGGGACGCAGATGCTAAGCCAATCAAAGCTGTCGCTCCGCATTCATAACATAGCGTCCAGCAGCTTGAACTGCGGATTTAAGGTTTGTTCATGCTGAAACATTCTGGGTGGTGCTCACATAGACATAAACATAAAACCAGACCCACTCTTAAAGGAACAGTAACTTATGTGTTTGGTAATTTCTTCCATGTAATTTGCGACGTCTTCTTTGCTGTGTATTTTTGTTTACTCCACTTGCACAGTGACCAAACATCCAGGAAACGTTTGGACGCATGTTTTTTGGAGATCCATGTCTTATTTGGCCGAAGAGGACCTCGGAATCTGGTTCGAACAGTGCGGCAAAGCCCTCTCAGCCCTGTCCAAGGCAACCCAAAAGCCGCACTTTTTGGATCATTTTGGGGTGAACCCTCCATGTCGCCTGTCCAATGTTTGGTGCAGAGCACTAGACATGGTTGTGAATGCACTCTTTTGGAATTTGCTATAAACATAAAGACAAACCCAAATTGTTGACTTGTTCAAAGACAAACGTGGTTGAGCCAAATAATTCTACATGAAAGATCCACCTTTTGGAAGATAATTGGTTTCTTGGACAGTGATCAACACAGGTGAAACATTGATCGATAGGTGAATATCGTGCATATATCATGTCATAGTTGTTAATCATGCATATTCCCCTCTTCAAATCTGGAAATCGCCTCTACTTGATTGCTCCTATAGGGTGGAGGCCATTGCTATTAGGTTGGAAGCCATGGATCGGATCAATCGCCGCTATTTGATTGACGTATGGAGAAACCCGCTGGGGAACCCCACCGGCATCGCTAGGCCCTCCGCCCTGGCCCTCCCCGTTGGAAACGTCTCCAGGCCGCGCAGGCGGAGTTCGTGCGGACCCGGCAGGCCGACGAGTGGCGCTCGGCTCGACCGATCAACGGGGGAGAACGCCGGGCAGACGGATGGACTGGGGGGACTGGAAAGATGAGGACAGCGAGGTGAACGGACCAGCGAGGTTTGGGACTTGAAAGAGATGTGGACATGTGGACTTAGGACTGGGCCACTGGGTGTTTTGAAGAGGCTACAAGTTGGTGATGTGGGTGTCAGTCCGCGAGCACATGGAATGAGAATGAATGACAGAACATGCGTAATTTCTGACTCAGAAATCATGCAATCCCTTTGCAATTTGACCTGACCTGATCCCACTAAAATCATGTAAAATGCATGGAATGTCCCCAACATGCTGCCTCCATGCAGCTTTTCCCAAGAGGGCCCCTGGCTTCGGCAGCCACAAAGCCAAGCCATTACGAAGCTGCAAAGCCGTTGCGAAGCATCACCGGGTACATCTGGGTCACGGCAACGCCTATGACCATCAATTTCCAAGATTTTTCCAAGCAAAGGGCAAATCTGAGGGAAGCCCACTGGTTTGTTGGCAACGGGAGTGCAGTGCTGGCGAAAAAGAAACATGCCAGCAGAAATGTTGGGTCCCTACCTTCTGGCAGCAGCAGTATAGATGCGAAGGTGCCCTGCAAAATATTTGAAACCGAGTCTAAACCCCGCACCATGAAGGCTGCTTCAGTATCAACCGTCTAGACTCATATAGATAGGATAGGATATAAGACAAGAGAAGACGAGACAATCCAAGAGAAGACAACACAAGAAAAGAGAAGAAAAGAACAGAAAAGAGAAGATAAAGGAAGAGATGGATAGGTAGATAGTAGATAGATACTAGTTATTCTCATGTCTTCCTGTGATTCGTCCCAACGGGGGTGCGAGCTCACAGGCATCCCACTGTCAAGGGGTGTGTTTCTTCGAGGCAGCTCTGGAAGCCAAACGCCGGGTCGAGGGAGAGACAAAGCCACTGGTCGAGGCCGGAATCCAAAGGAACTGCGAGAAATGGGAGGGGACTTCATGGGTGAGAGCTTAGGACTTTGAAGTCGACTGTTCTTAGTTACAGCTTACAACTGGGACACTTAGAGGGCAGGCAGGAGATGCTTGGCTTGAGATGCTTGGCTTGCAACCGATGCCGTGGATGCTGCGCAGTGCGCCAGGGCCCAGCCCCTCAGAGAGAGCAACGTCGCCCTCGAAAAACTGTGGAGGACGGTGAGGGGATCAGACTGGTGAGATCGTTGAAGGTTCCATGCCCATGCGACTGTCCTTGTGTATCCTTGTGTCCAACTGTACGCTGACTACAACATCCGCCCCACCGGGATCAGGAGCAGACCCAGCTGAGCGGCAAAGAACGTGAAGCCGAGGCGCAAAGAACGGGACAACACGGGGGAGGCCTCAAAGAGATCCAGCAGTTTGCAAGCGCAAGACATTTGCAGACTAGGGATGACTTGGGGTCATACCAGCGATAAGTTTGAGTCGTATCACTGACTGTATCACCTGAAGGGAAGTCGCATCGTGTTTGCATACTCACAGTGTTTGACATGTTTTTCATCATGTTTGTATATGTTTGTTATAGTTTGATGTTGTGCTGTGATGTTATCGATCGTTGTTGTTCATCTTCAGCACGTTAAGTAGTAACCGGATCGCATGGGCACACTGCAGTGGCACGTCCATATTTAGTACTATTGTGCATAGTGAACATGGAAGGGCAACCACACTGGCATACCAATGTTGTATGCGTTGCAGGCCTCCACCCGCTGCGCAATTCTGCGCAGCCGTAACCACCTCCACAATCCTTCATAGCTTTTGTGAAAGCGGTCTCGGTCGCCTTGTTTTGTTACGCAGGTGTGCAGCTGGGTGTTGTAATCCAATCCAGTTGTCTCATCAGCACTGTACCATCAGGATTTGTTGCAAAATCCTAAGAAAGACATTCAGCATGTAGCACATGTCCTAGTGTGTGCATGGTTTGCTCTAATTACTGCATTGTTGTGACGCAATGTAACACTATCCGATCAACGCGTCTGAAGCAAACCGTAAAAGAGACAAGTATATTTCCTGAGATGCGCTGTGCCACTGTGATTCCTTTCTGAATGTCATGAAAACCTTGAACACAGGTCCGCAAGTGACTCATTGTTTGCAGTGTTTTCTCCTTATGATGCTCTTAAAAACCTTCTTGTGAAGGTTGATTTGGAAGAAAGTCATCAACAGGCAAATGTCAGATCAACACATCCACAACAAAATTCACGTGACTTTTGCCCAGTTAGTTGGGAGAATGGGCTTCAAGTTGTTTAGTTTAGTGGATTTCCCTCAATCCCCACTTAGTAAGGAACTGGCGCTTAACACGCATTGTTTGAAGGGGATGGAACAACTGCAATTTCATTTGTTTTGTCGGCTTTGCTTGCCAAGTGACATGCCAGATTCAGATCGGACATGTTGGAACCATTACCCCCTATCCGCTCGCTCGTCCACACCTGCATGCTTACGCGTGCGTATGATGAGGTCCGGCGCCGGGCGCGGCAAGAGCGTGATGAGCTGGAGCGACTGCTCGCAGCGACGAGATGTGACGAGCTGCCGATTGGGAGACTTAAGATTGGAAGACCCTCAAAAGCGATCTCAAAAGAGTGAAACAATGTTCGCTACGAACGGGGCTCCTGGCATCGCTACGAATGGAGCAAGGACGGAACGGGGCTCCTGGCCCTACTACTAGGAGCATCCTTACTACTAGTAACAACAGCTGCGGGTTGATGTGACATTAGGTGGACACAATGGGGATGATTGACATGTTCGATATTGGCCCGGGATGTGAACACGAAAGATGCGTGAAGTGAAGGGGACCTGGGGCCGGCCGTTGTACTCCAATCCCCTTTCAAGATACAACGGGCGACAGCGGGTATTTTGATCATTCTGGTCCTCATGTTCCAAGCTCACATCAGCAGAAGTCAATGAAGTCTGCATAGTTCGCACGACGCTTGAACAACCTTACACCAAAAGGACCAGGACCTGAAATACAAACTGACAGGATTGAGGCCTTTCCTATGAGTTGGGTCTATCCTAATACCTGTAACAGTGGATGATTACGGTTAGTAAAGGCCTTGTTCAAACATAGTATTTACTGACTGTTACAGGTAATAGGACAGACCCAACCTATGAGTCTTAGATACCTTGATGTGTGGGAGTCCTCTTTGCACAATTCTTCATCCCAAGGAACCATGCCAATGGAAGTCAGCAGAGAAAGGCGGTGTAAACCAAAAGTTAAGTCAGATGGTGAACTACACGAGTTATGTTGAAACCTAGCAGGTTTGGACATGAGCAGCGGCCATAACTTCCCAAGCAACATTTTGAAGAGAGGTTAATGTATTATGCGAAAGCAATAAAACATGCAGTCACGAAAGATCCGCGAAAGATTGTGCGCACTTTTCATTGGCGAAAGCTTGCGAAAGCTCCGGACAGTTGGCACAAGCTTGCGAAATCAGTTCCGTCCCCAAAAACACTTGCGAATGTGTTTTTGCACAGTATGCAGCGCCCGAAAGCCAAAACGCAAGCCGCGAAAATGTCGCGAAAGGAACTTGCGAAAGAGCCCATTAGAACTGATTCCCGATAGGTTTTGAGCAATGTTCAAATGGTAGTTCACTCTACCAGTGGCCCCTCACCCTCCCCCCCACATTTGTTCAGGACACTGGTCATAAGGGGTTTCCCTCCCAGATGGCCAGAGTTCCCTTTGGATCGGAGCTCGCTCTCAGCGAGCTCAGCAGGATGCCTTGCACTGGGATGCCTTGAGCAAAGCCCGAAGAGAGCATCAGGAGGCGCTCTTGGACGATTCGCTGGGCGAGGGCGGGCGAGGGGATGAGGTCTCGGTGCGGTGATCGTCAAGCCGTTTGGTGGGGTGGTCACGTGGTAAAGAGATGTCAGAGAGGGTGTTTTCGTGTTTATTTTGTTGATGTGTCAGACACCCAAACTTTAAAGATATTTTGCAACATGTCGCTTTGATGGTTTTCAACATGTTCACTTTCGCATCGACGTGTTTGCATTGCTTGATCGGCCGACTGGTGTTTGCTGGATGCCAAGATGGCCACAAGCAAGGCTTTCCCAAATGTGTTCCAATAAGTCCAGGAGATGCCAAACATTCACCAACATCGAGCCCTAAACAGCAAAATTTGTTATAGTTTCATGTGAGTTCGGGGAAGGTTGCAGTGTGAATAGTTTGCCCATTGGACTCTGGACTGTTCCCCCCCAATATTCCACTCAGAAGTCCCTTGACCACGGAGCTGGTGCTGTCTCGTGTTGCAAATCGACCCGGAGCCACACGGGCGCAGTGACTCACGGGCGGATCCCTTGCATCCGGTGCATTTCTTCAAACTGCTGATGGCTCACACTGGAACACACGGAGAAGCTGTTCATTTGAGGAGCTCCTCACCGTGGTCAGACCACAGACCAGAGCAGTTCGCAACTCTCGATCAGATTGACGTGGCGAAGACGTGGCCCACGAAGAGGTGATTGGTGGCTTTTTCCAGGTGAAGGGCACAGGTCTAGCTGACGCGCGCGGTTGTCGAGCAGATGTTGTGAGGAGAGGACATGAGGATGTTGTGAGATGGTCGGACGGTTTAGAGATGGTCTATGGAAGACCAGGAACTGCCTCACAGACTGGCAGTCAGACGGTCTCATGGAGAAGCCCGGGCGCGACAGCGCTCTTTGGGCGACAGGTTTGGGCGAGCTTCGCCCCGCCATCAATTGATAGGATTTGAGGGGCTTCTAACGGCTTGCAGGTACTGTGGAAGTTAGGGACCTCCAAAGAAACCCAAGCACTCTTTCCAGTCTTTCCAGTGAGTTTGAGGTATAGCCTCAGCCTAGTTTTGAGCTTTGGTTTTCCCTAAAGATATTTTTCATATCCTGTGATATTTGGATGTATCTGAATGTCAAACTTGGAAGTTCATCCCTTTGAGAATCTAGCTTTGCATGTTATGGTGGCGTTTGCTTGGAATGTGCTACTAGTCTCCCAGTGTTTGCTCAATGGTTCTTATTGCAGTCCCGAGCAAAACGCCACCCAAACAACAAAAGACACATGTCGGATGCAGTTTCATACACCTCAATGCGGCATCCTTTCTGCGTCTCCGCATATACTTTCTGCTAAACTGCACCCAAGGCATTTCAAGGCAACTTGTGGGCGGGTTTTTGCATTAGCTACCTCCCCCCCGCAACATGCACCGCGTGTGTCCCGCAAGCACCGTTCCTCGGAGGCCGAGTGACGGCTTCGTTCCGCGCGAGTAAAGCGCGAGTTGAGCGCAGTCGTCTTCACGGTCGGGTTACAAGTGGATTGAGAGTAGATGGCACAATCCCCCCCAGGTCGGGTGGTTTATATGGACCCCTATATAAAAGACTTCTTGGGGTGCCAGTGGCATCTACTCTCAATCCACTGTAACTCGACTGCTGCGCAAACATTTATATCATGTGTTCTTGCAAAGGACTTGTGATGAAGACCCGACTCGTTTATGAAGACAGGTTAAATCACCGTTTGATACGAGGTCCCATGACTGCACATAAAGGATGTTGTATATACTTGTCCCATTTGACGCTCTTCCCAGGTGTCCCTTTTTACAGGGTTCCCCTATTTTGTAGGACCCGATGAAAATCAGAGGAACCACTCCCCAGCGGGGTCTTTTGGGGGGGAAGATGAGTTTGCTGGAGTTTCTTGAGCACAGAAAGCTGGAGACGGTTCATGAACAACAACTTATAGAACAACTTAGATCAATCTGGTCTCAATGAATCCAAGTAGTCCTGTAGATGCCTGCGCTGACTTCGATTCGAAACAGCGCTCAGGAGCGGCGGAAGCTCGAACTGCGCTTGCGAGGGCACGATGAGGCATTGGGCACAGCTACCATGCGAGGTTTTGGCTGGATCTCTTTGTTGAGTCATGTTCCAAGAGAAGATTTATCCCGGATCTTGAGAGATTCAATGGTCCGGTTAGTCCAGTTGTTCACCAAGAAAGCACTCCAGCATGGCCATGTTTCTTTTTTGTTAACCACACCCTAGCGATGAACAAGCTCTAGACCACACCCAAGTCTCCGGATTCAAGGCTGGGGGTTCTAATATGCCTCTTAGCTCGTCTTAGCCTCAGCCGGTCTGTTGGCTATTTTGTTTCTTGAGGGTTCGGAAGGGAAACACCTTTTTGAGGATGGACACCCTAGCTGCTCTAGCTCATCTTAGGATCTTTGTCTCAGAAGATGTTTTCTTTGGACCTCACTTGCTGGCCCTCTCCTCAATTGCTGGTCCTGTATATGCTGATACAAAAAGGACTATATATATACACATGTTATTGTACTGATTGATCCTGCGTTCCCTCTATAATTTGCCAGGTCTATAGATATTTTGGCCACGAACTCCAGGGACCATATACTCCCCTGCACTGGGCCACAGGGGGGGTAGAATTGCCACCGGTTTGCAAGTTCCCCTTTAGCTCTGGCAGGTGCCGCCTCCAGTGGACTCATTTGATGACAGTCCTTCTTGTGGTGCGAGGGCTTTAGCGGTCATGGGGTTGGGTTTGGCAGTTCAATTGACTGATCTGTGCCCGACATGCCGCAATCTTAGCCAAAAGGCAAGACGTAGGTTAAGCAATTTCATGTTGTTTGACCGTGTTTGACCTGTAGATGTTTAAGGGTGCATCGTGTCAGATGTTCAACCAACGCCCAACACGATGTGTGATTCTGATGTTTCTTTGCGCTCCATTCAAGCAGATACCCTGATACCTTGCGCAGTCCCGGGCTGGACTACGATGACGTTGCAGAGAGGGTGAGAGATTTGCAACCAGGTTTGTTGGTAGGAGTCAGCACCTGAGCACACCACAGGCATGTCTTGGTCATCCATGAAAGGCTGTTCTGACCAGAGCCATCTAAGTAGGTCTAAGTAGTGCAAATACAAAGTGGGTATGCCCATTATCGGGAAATCTTCCTTCAACTCATCAACTCTACGGCAAAACCTGTGCGCTCGCGATCACTCAAGAGACGGAACCTGACCACCAGCTCAAACAATTCCAAGGGATTTATGGCATGTTCTGAAAACCTCGTACAAGAGGGTTAGCCAGCTGAGCACATGGATGCTTTTGTACTGACCTTCAGAACTTCAGGATCCCTCCAGATGTGACTGGACACATCCGTTTGTAATTACAAGCCAAGCACCTTTCTCACAATACCCAGACACTCCAAAATAGGGAATCTATGCCTACATTCATCCTTGAAACCACCCCGATGTAGATAAATATTCCAAGCGGAGTGTTTGGAATAGGGTCTGTTTGGATGCAACCGTTGGTTGCTTCCGTGGGAACTGCCAGGTGTGCCCCGCAAAGACAAGCTCGCCGAGGAGGCCTGCAAGGGTGGGGCGCAAAGGGCAGCGATATGAAACCCGCAACTCAGGTACTTTCGAGTGTTTGCCTTGGAGGTCCAGGTACATTGAGAATCGATTTGTTTGGTTTTGTTTGGCCGCCAAGGAGAGGGTTGAGTTCTGACAGAAGTCGTCTTGGAGCTGTAGCCAGCGGAGCAGATGGAGAGTGCGTCGCCAGCTGGTTATAGGTGCACGCATGTGCACGCTCAATGCGGAAGTTCCTTGGTTGCCAGGCGGAGTACCTGGAGAAGCTTGCGGAAGCCAGAAGGGAACAGGCGCAGGAGTCCGGGTGCAAGTGAGCTGGTGTAGAATAACACGCGAGCATTTGTAGTATCATGCGGGCATTTTGTACATGCAACCAAATCGTGGATACTCCGATACTCCAACTTCCAACAGTTGCTAAAGGTCAGAAACCCTAGTGCTCCAGATCATCTCTCACAAGGTGTCCCAGATCATCTCTCACAAGGTGTCCCAGATTTCAGGTATGGAGAGTGGGTCCCGAACCAGAGTTGCCTGAGCCTGGGTTTGGGGCCCAGGCGCTTGCTCAGGAAGTTCTGGGTCATCAGTCTTGCAAGGTCATCAGCAAGGATCACTGCAGACCTCTAACCATCTTATGTCAGGCAATGGTCTGCATGTCACCCACTTTGACTCACGGGTCTCCTGACTCGAGGCTTGGGAAGGGCCTGAAAACAGGTCTAACCATTGGTGAGCTGTAGGGTCAGGTGCTGGTACAGACCTACACAGCTTTCTCCAAGAACATCCTGCCATGTCCTACCTGACCCTTGGATCGATGAGCCTGAGCCACGCGCCTTGGAAGGGATGCTGCTTTGCGTGGTACCGTGGTGCTTGCCTGAAACACTTTCTCAGGTCTAGATCCATGAGGGTAAGTAATGTTCTGGAGGGCCCTTCCACAAAAAAAAATCTGGGATGTAGGTTTGACACAGTGCGTAGGGCGAAGAAGAGGTGGACCGCTGAAGTTCAAGCTGAGTCCTGAGTGCCATTCGGTGAAATAATTAAGTTGCCCATCGCATCACGACAGCTACGTCTAGATTCTAGATGGAAATTCGGTAGATTGATCGACTACAAGGCTACGGGCTTGGCGACCCATGGTGCCATCAAGACCTAGCTAGATTGAGCAGTGCCAGCCACAAATCCTGGAGAGGATCATTGATTGGAGCCGAAACAAAGACTTACTTCACCTAGGACGATTTTTCAACTTTTTTCACATTGTAAAGGATGCCCAAGCACATTGTGCACGTTGTCTTGTATACAATTTTGTGCATCCACCAAGCCTCACCCAACACTGCGCAACCGACGTTGGCAAAAACACACGCAAAGGCAAAACATACGGAACACAAACAACGAAGGCAAACATACAGAGCCCAACCAGGGGGGGGTTTGTCAAATTTACACTTTGAACAACAACTTGAACAAGCCACCATGCAATCAAACTGACAGTTGGCGAACTTGCAAACTTACTGATGGCCGATGTGGGTGGGTGACAAAAACAGGTTATTGCAAACGTCAGCTATGGACTGATGAATTTCCATATTGCAAAATGAACCAGCTCACAGGCAAAACAAAAACCTGTGGGCAAGCGAAAGGCAGCCGAAGGCCACATTGGTCACACGTGCGCCAAGGTCAAAAACCTAAAGGTGAAACCATGCTTTTCCGAAGCAGTGTGAAGACACCGGACACCGTTGCTTCGCGAAGCCAAGGAGTCATGTTGTATGGGAAACCAAACTGTATGCCTCAGAAAGGTAAACCTGTCATGGCGGGGGCCATCGGTCATTTGTCCGAACTGCAACTGCCGCATTGTTGCTGGAGACATTGTTTTTTCTTCTCCATGGTCGAGAATGTCGCCTTCATATTCTGCGTTCGCTATCGGCGGGGATTTATTAGCCTACTAGCTGCATTTGAAAACACCGTGCAATCAAGCATTGCGCTGTGAAAAAATGCTGCAAATGCTGTTGTTTTGCCCGGGGGGGCATCACAGAAGTCTTTTAATGCACCTGTTAAAGTGCAAGAAGTTAAACGTATTTTTCAAGCAGGTCATTTGCAGAAGTAAGAAGATGAAAACCATGCGCCTGTGCATATGTCAGTTCGAACGGGATGGCGTCCTGTGCCCCAATGTTCTAATCTGTGAGCAGGATGCTCCTTATCATCCTTCTCTAAGTACAGGCGAGCGTTCAACTATGAGGTGATCAAGGAGGTGACGATTGTCCATCCACTCTGCCCTCCCACATGTTTTGCCACAACGGATCCCACCCCCTTACAGACTTTGTGGTTTATTGGTTCCAAAATGATTTCAGTTTTTTATCGAAGCAGGCTCGTTCGGCACGAACTGAAACAAACCACCATGCGTATGACCAACCCCCAACATGAAATCTCGGATGCCTTGCGAGAGATATTTGGAGCGCTGGCGCTTGTTGGAAATGACATGCCAAGAGCCAAGGGTGCTTTTGTCCTGCTGCACTGCAGCAGTGCGCACCATGTCGAGCTGCGCCCATCCCACTCTTGTCCCACAACAGACATTTCCTGAACCCACGCGGCGCCACTTGTGGCAAGGCAAGCTGTGAGGCAGGTTATCAAACCAAAATACCTTCTGAACCTCTCAAGATCATACACTTGTACCATGAACGTTGTAGACCAAGATACAACTAGCAATAATACTTAGGACAAAGGTTGCTGAAACCTGGAACGACCAAAAGCAATGATCACATCATATCATATCAATACAGTTTCGGGCATGTTCAGCTAATTGCCCCCCTTCAATCCCCGTAGCTGGAATCATGTCCTTTACTTCTTTGGCAGATACTTGTATGGCACGTGTATAGCAGTGAAAAGAGAATATGAACCGTCATTTCTATGACACGAAACGTCACCAGGTACTCCATTCCACTGGTCTTCCCGAACAGTTTGCATCTTCAAATGAAAAACACCCGGTGGGGGATGCACAGATGCTGTGGCCCTGAACCCAGTTATATACTTGGAGATTTCTTGCAAGCCACCTGAGAACAAGTGGAGAGGAAACTTCTCTTAGTGTTTACAATGAAGAGGCTCGGAAGGCTCTACCAAGCGGAACCATGACCAGAAAGAGTAGTTCATAGAGTAGTAGTTTGATGTGCGTTCAGAAGGCAAGACTTATTGACATGTCCAGGTGGTGATTCGGAACATGACCATCATTGGAGTTTGGATGAACAATGATATTGCTGCGAGTGTGTGCCTCCATGGGTCTCCCTCCCCCTGGAAATCAACAAACCTAGACCAAATGCAAAGTTTGGGGATCTTTCCCCAGAAGTTTCATGTCGGTGCTCAATGGAGGATGTGGTTGCCCCTGTCACATCCGCTCACTTAAAAACTGGATGGGTCTATATAATCCACCCCTACTTGGAACTCTATTTCAACACACGCCTTCAGGAGCGCCGGCGGCTGGCAGAGAAGTTGGCGAAAATGGCCGACGACGAGGTCGCTGGGGAGTCGGAGGGAGCAATGGATGCTCCAGACGGTGCGAGTGTTTACTGCGTGGGTCGGCTGGAGATGATGGGTTTTTGATGTTTTTGGTGGCAGTTTGTTGAAGCAAAACAAAGCCACGAGTCTGGTGATCACATAATTAGACAAACAACGAGAAACATAAATGCGTGAAGGGGTGAAAAAGGAGTGACAGAGCCATTTAAACGGGGGATTCAATTTGCCGGCATTGTGACGCAAAGAAGAACATGCTGTCCTGGAACTGCAGTGTGATGCTGTGTGGGAGTTACAACCATCCAACACATGGTTAAGAAAGGACTTGCCATACTTTGCCTGGTCCGCTGCTTGCGCAGTGGAGGTCCCAGTCGTCAGTGAAGAGGAGGTCGGGTCGTCAGCGCAGAGGAGTGGTCACCGGTGGTAGGAGTGGTCAGGTCATGTCAGGTCTAACCCCCTCGAAGGCAGACTCTACATTCACTCAAACCTCAAGTGGTGAACCTTTTCTTCCGGGGTGAGTTGTTGGCCAGTAGCCTGACTGGGACCCTGGTTTGCTGTTTGGGGTTGGCTCAGGAACAGTTCTCAAGAGAGACGCATTTTTAATGCTGAAGGCGGTTTTCTGAGTGCTTCGGTGCTTCGGCTTTTGGAAGCAAAGCTGAAGCGAATTTAGAGACCCCTTAGATAATAACCAGCTTTCGAATTCCATCTTTGTGGAAGCCCAGCTGTCCACCAATCTTACGATCCAGTCCCTGTCACTAGCAAGCTGTTGAAATAATTGACCAGACAGTTCAACCGCAGCTGTGGCTTGATTGGTTTGTCTCCAAAATCACAATGTGTTTGCATGTATTATCCGGGACGTGCATCAAAGCTGGGTGAACCAGACAGAGAATTTCTTTGTGAACATCCCACGGATGGACCCATTCTCCTTCGAAGATGTCACAGGATTTGGTGAAAAAAAAACTAAGAAAGCGCCCACCATATTGCTCCCCTTTCAGCCGCTCACTTGAGCTGAACGACGAACTGTGAGTCACTCACTCCCAATTCAGCTTGGCGCTTGAAACCACTGGACTTCAACATGGGTGGGTGCTTCTCCCAAACGGCAGTCGAGGTTGACAGCGACAAGGAGAATGCTGTGTGCTTTGTCCTCAAGAGGCCATGCTGGGCAAACAATTGTTCGACGGGAACCCACGCGGGTTCTGTGCTCAGAATTACTGGGTTCCAATTGGCGAAACGTGCAAAGCCTAAGGCCCTAAAACCCCTTAAGCAAGGGCATCGCTACTAGTAACAAAGGGCATCGCTAGTAGGAGCAAGGACACTACTAGGGGCTCCTGGCCTTACTACTAGGAGCAAGAAGCTACTAGTAACAAATGCAGAAAATGCAGCTTCTCCACTTCGACTTTGTGGAGCACCGACGTGTATGTGTCCGCGGTCACATATATGTTCCATCCACCCCTAAGCTCAGCAAGCAGGTCTCTGGTCTCCAGTTTCACGGAGCGTGGGAACCCATGTTGGTCCCATGACTTTCCAGGTGTAGACCAACAATGATTACACTGGTTTCAGAGTAGATGGCACCATTTTCCAGGTGTCTTAGACAGATGGGGCGGAATATGATACACCATCAAGGATACACATAGAAAGTGCCCTACCCAACTGGGAAGCCCTTGCGCCAAGTGGTGCCATCTAGGCCATCTGAAACCACCAAATCACAGTCACAATAGAGAGATTCGTCGAGTCAGCATGTGACCAACCCACCCTGGAGCAGACCGATGGCCAGGCCGAGAGAGATGGATGGAGGAGGCAGGGTGGGGGGGCGAATTGGCTGGGGCCGGATGAGTGCCTCGATGAGATCACATTGATTTTGTTTGACATATTTGCTCCATACACATCCATACACATCCATACACCAATCATAAACAACCACCATGTGTGTTAAGTTTAAAACCTTTAATCATATGAATCATATATGTATGACGTATGTGTTTGTTTCGAGTTCGTTTTGTCGTCGTTTTGGTTTGCTGGGACAATTGGACAAGCACCATGCACGGCCTCACCAACCCCCACGGCCTCACCAAACCCCACCAGCAACACACCTTTTTCTATTTGGAAAAACGGAGCGGGCTGTTGGTTGTCTCCCGTTGGGAAGGGGACAAGGGCGGCGGACTGCTGATTGGGCTTTGACCAAGAAAGCGGGCTGCTTGAATCCAAGCCGTGCAACAGGCGCAACCTGAGCACGCAGTTGCTCAGCTTTTGTTCTCTTCTTGTTGCTAGTAGCGATGGCCTCCAACCTAATCTCAATGGCCTCTACCTGGTAGCTTCTAGTTACCAAGAAGCTTCAAAGACATACTAAAAAGCTTCTTGTTACTGGTAGCAGGCACAGCGCTTTGGTGGTTGACGTAGCATGGCAGGCGTACGTACCATTGGGTGGACCTTGAAGTGCTTTCGTGTGTGTGCTTTTGCTCTCATATGTGTTGTTGTGGTTTCTAATGTATGTGCTCTCCCAACTATTTACTCCGTTTGTGCTCTCAGTTGAGGTACGCTCAGAAAGAGCTGCTTTGTTTGAGGATCCGTTGATTTTGTAGAAGCGCTCAAGAACCTGTAGGCTCATAGGGACCTCGCGAAAATCGACAACCTTTGTGTGTGACATTGACAAGCCATGATTGAAATTGCCCTGTGATTTCGCGTGCCTATTGAAACGACTCCAGAATTGCTTCCGAAGATGCCTTTTCAAACCACTTTTCAGGGGGTCCGTGGCCCTTCAGACGAAGAAACTCCAAGAGGATCCAAGAGGAACGTATTGCGGAACCACGTGCAGACTCTGAAGACAAGCGACAAGACACTGGGGCTACGGGTCTTACCATTTTTCAGGGTGTGTGTGACACTGTGTGCTCAGCGATGGGCTAATTGCTGGGCAACAGGGCATGTAACTACACATCGCTTGACCGTAGCTGCAGCTCATTCACTTTCATATATATATATATCATTAAATTATATACTGTATATATATATATGTATTATTGATATATATATATATTTATATGTGACACAATGTGTGTGTGTGTGTGTGCACCCGTATACGTGTGATTTTAGATTTGCACCTTTGTCCGCTCATGCGTTCCTCTCATTTAGGTCGTTTGCCGTCGCATTTTTGTCCAGACGGCAGAACCGGGCGGACCAGCGATGCGACCGGAACGGTCGGAACTTACCGTGGCCACCGACTGGAACGGTGGTTGCAAGGTGTCGCGAACTAGACAGTCGATGCTGCGCTTCAAAAGCAGCCAGGGAAAATCCGCATGAAGCAGCCGACAGAGGTTTTAAGTCTTTCAGCAGAAGCAAGACAGGATCAAGGCTAAAGGGCAACTCCTTTCCCTGCGGGTCAAGGGATCTCATTTTCATGGACGTCCTGGAAAATGCAAAAACAGTACTCAATGAAGTCAAGGACTGGTTTTACTTGGTCCTTAGACTGGTAGGGTTTGCTTGAACATGCAGACTTCACTGGTGCGCAGGGGATCCTGGTCCCATGTTGCTGGAAATCCCCTTCACTGACAAGGTGCGAGCCGGCCGGATAGAGAGACCAACAGTCTGCACAGGTGTAAATGTCCATTGGTAGAGAGGAGAGTACAGACTTCAGGCATTAAGTGCGGCATGGGATTGCAGGCGAAATCGAGATTAATTGGGTATGTTATGTTGTGTTGATGTGAGCTTTTTTGGTGCCCAAGCGGAGTTTGGTGAATTGGTTTCCAGTGTGAGCCGGGGCGAGAAGAACATATAAGAAAATTACACGGAGACTGCTGCAGACCACATCGTGTACATGGTCACGACAAACCTTGCGGCTAAAGAAGTCTTGTCAAGAGCAGTGCGGTTGAATATTGTTCAAACCCACAAATTGAACTTATGTTTGTCCTTTCCTTGATTGACTCAGCTTTCATGCTCCATTGCACAACACCTTGGGGGGCCCACCGTTTTTTGTTTGTGTTGTTTCGTTTTCTTCGTCATGCGGTTCACTGAGTATTTGATAGCAACCCATGCAGGTAATATTTCATCATATTTTGTCGTTTAAAGATCCCCAAATAAAAAGATGCCGCGGTGTTCATCATGTCTCCCATTTCCCTGCACCTCCAAAGGCACAGTTGATTGAACGGACAAACGCTGACTGATTTGGGTTCTATATGTATTCATGTCAATGCATTTCCAGAAGTGCCTTAAGAGCATGTGAGAGTCGATTTTAGCGGTGGTCCACAGGGCCACTTTGGATATCAAAGGACTAGTTTCGATTCGCTCGACCAGCACGTCTGACGCACCGAGGTCAAGCCGAAACCGAAGCCGGGGCGCCGAGCTCCTGAGCTCGGCCACAGCCGCACAAAGAGGTGGTTGGAAGGTCCACAACACTCTGGTGATGGTTCTCTCCAAGGTGATGTCCAAAGAGGTGGTTGGAAGACCACACCAAAGCCACCAGTATGTCCATGTGTTCAACATGTTGAACCTTCAAACAGCAATACTATTTATGTGGTGCCCCTATACCACAAAAAGATACAAAAATATGTTAACTCATGATAAGTCATGTACCCTGTGATGTTGTGTTCTTCAACATGCTGACCCACATATATTATAGTAATTATATGTATATAAATTAGTATATATACTTGAGTGCCTGAACACTGAGAAAGAATCACGTTGGCTCTCCCGCCCGCCCAAACCTCACCCATATGACTTATATTGTTGCATGTCGTTTAGACAGAAACCTCCAAGTCTTTAGAACTTTAGAACCCCCTGATAGGCAATCGATGGGCCATCAAAGACAACTCCAAGTAAAAAGGAGATAAAAAGAGCTAAGATACTTGGTCGGTTGTTTCTTGCGGTTCCCAGTTCCGGCTTCTGGAAACCCATGGGAACATCTATGAACCCATAGGCTCCTAATGGTTCCGAATTGTTCCCTAGGCTCCGAATGGTTTCTGAAAGCTTTCAAATCTTTCGACTTGGATTTTCCACCACGCCGAGGCTGACCTCAGACACCCGATTCAGCAAGCGCAGGCGTGTTTTTGTTGTTTCTTTTTTTTGGGTGTTGAGGCGAAGGGGGTCGAGGTGTGTCGAGGTGTGTGGAGACGAAGACATGGGGGGAAGCGGATTCCTTGGGGGCGTTCCGCCACACAAGACATCGTTTTGTTAGATGACCCATGTTGGGCAGTCGATCTGGGTGTTTGATGTGTCTGAAACATGTGTTGTTCGGAAGCGTTATGTTTTTGTTTTTTTTCTCATGTTGGGATGGGTCAAGATCTGGAGCCCTGGTCCACCATCTAGCTTGACCTTCCAGGTAGGTCGACGTATCCTGGTTTGGGCCCACAGCCATGTGGTTCAGTACCATCATCCGCAGCTCCGTTGGGTGGACCGCTGGTGTGAAAGGTTGACCATGTAGGAGTCAAGTTGAGCCACTGGAAGGATCCATCCCAAAAGCTGGAAAAGCAAAAAGCAGATCATCCTACTAGCTTCTTGCTACTAGTAGCGATGGCATCGACCATCATCGACCCTAGTAGCGATGGCCTCCAACCTACTAGCTTCTTGCTAAGCTGGAAAAGCCAGTGAAAAGCCGATCATCCATGTCATGGCCAGAAGATTTGGTGGGACCTAGCTAGGTATCAGCTGGCTCATGCTGGCTCCATCACTTGTTGTCTCGTTTAGACAACCAGGCTTGACCCCCTCTTCATTCGAATGCACCGATGGTTGACCCCTAGCTCGCAATCGAGCATCCGCAGCGTTTCTGGTCATCCTTAAATGGACAACATTTTGCATGTTCTACAGTAGCACATTTTGTGAATTTTGAAGCGGTCCAGGTAAAATGTGATTCGATTTCGGTTTCGGCGATAGATACTGGTCCCACTTTCTCGCGCAGGTGGGGGGGTAGCCCTGTTCGCGAACGTAGAGTTGCCTCCGACCAGTGCCGCTCAAAGGGCGGATGCACAATTGAGACCCCAAAACACGGTACTGTAAGTGCACATCCTGCGACATTCCACTGGGATGCTTTTGATGTGAACGACATCCAAACTACATGCACAACTCTCCGTGTCATTCACCAAAGCCTCGCGCCATATACAGTAAAGGGATCTTGCATTCATCCATCGTTGGGGGAAACCCAACTTACTCAAGGTGGAGTGTCATCCCAAAGCTGCTGAATGGCTAAGTGTCACCATGTGCTCATCTCATGAAGTCTTCAATTCATGAAGCTTCATCTCGATGGCACTCTTTCACGCCCGTTTACGCCAAGAAGCCCTAAGACACTGCGACGGGAAGCACCGAGCGTTGCCCTTCGCCCCAGGGTTTTCCACTCGACTCGCTTCCCGAAATCTCCGCACGTGATCGACTCCGCCCAGTGTCATCGAGAGCCGTGACACAGGCGTGGCCAGGGCATGGATCCTTCCATTTAGTAACAAGAAGCTACGAACGGAGCAAAGGGCATCGCTACTAGCTACTAGGAGCAAGGACGCTACTAGTAGCTCCTGGCCTTACTACCAGGAGCAAGAAGCTAGTAGAAGCCAGTAGGTTGGAGGTTTGCCTTATTCTCGGATCGGTGAGCACTTGGCTCCATCGCGGGAAACCGGCAGCAAAGTGTGCTCTAGGTCTAGGTGTTTGCTGCCCCCTTTGGCGGAACAAGCTCCAAAAGCGGGTGCAAAGTCCGTGTGAAGGGAAAAAAGATGGAGCAAAGTGGGGACTTTTTGTAGACCAGTGACCTTACAATGACACTTGCACTTGTGGGATTCGGCTTATCGTTATCGTGGTGATTAAGTGCAAAAGACTTGAGTGACAACCCTTTTGTCCAACAAGCAGAAGGCCTGCTATGACAGGGATGTTGGTCTATGGTTACACAAGCATTATGCCGGGCATCCATTGGCTATTGCATGAATTGATCTCAAGATCCCCAAGAAGGAACCCAGTGAAAGATCCGCTGAAAGACCATGATCTAGATCCTGTAGATCCTGCGCCACCAGCGGTTTTTATTCCCCCTGCTGTTAGCACGTTTTCCAGCAACTGGTGGCATGACCCACCGGGTTCCGGTCGATGGAAGCCTTTTATTTGGGGTGTCTCAACCCAGGTCCAAGCCCGGTCCCGAGAGGAAATGCGGTCCCTGTGCTTTGTGATAGTGTTGTTCTGGGTCGGCTCTTTCTTTCTCTCTCTCTTTAGGATTGGGGAGGCGACATGGAGCTTCTGTCACCAGAAGACCGGTACTTTGGAAACAGTTCAAACAGATTCAACAACCACTTACAAGGATCATAAAGGGCCACCAGTAGATGTGAGAGCTAGATGTTTGGAAGTAAAGCTGGACACTACAAACACCTTCTGGACTGGACCGTTTTATTTGATTTCGTGGACTCTTGGAGCTTTTTTTTGGTACTAGGAACAAGTGCATCGCTTCTAGTAACAAGTGCCTTACTAGTAGTAACAAGAAGCTATTAGAAACAATAAGACACTTGTTACTAGTAGCGATGCACTTGTTCCTAGGAGCTTTTTTGGTTGCAGAAATCGATGCCTTGCCGAATCGATGGTCTCAGAGTACAGCGCCACTTGCTTCTGCCAGACCGAGCTCCGCCCTTGGGCCGCGCACGAGAGTCGCAGCCTCAGGGAGATGAGAGCAGACGCACAGTTGATCTTTCTGGGTCACATTCTATATGAAGCAGAATTTGTGGTAACCTGTGCCCCATTTTTTTTTGCTTTTGAATGGGGAGGATTGTATCATGTGGCGAGCAGATGAACAGAGTCGACGATCTTTGGTTGTTTTTTGAGGTGCACAGTAGATCAAAGGGAACTTAAAGCCAAGAGCTACGGTTGAAGCGGCACAAGAGTCTTTGCTGGAACTGTGAGGGCGTAGTTCAGTCAAACGACTTAGCGGGGTGGGTAGCGCCGCAGGCAAGAACATGATTAAGTGGATAGATTTAGATGATGGCAGTGGATAGACCTGTTGACGAATTCAAGTTGTCCGTTCATTCCAAGTTTTAATACAACCACATATTTGTCATTTGACAAGCTGCCATTGATGCCAACCCCAAACAACCCCAAACTGCTTGAGATTGCTGGACCCTCACCGAATGGCATGCTCAAGGAAGAAGAAGAAGAAGAACGCTATTAAATCAGATCTATGGCAAGCAATCGTCCCACATACATGTCCTGATCATCACACCCTTTCGGCCACTGATGAGTGGCATTTGGGAGGGGAGTGTCCAAACCCATTGGTGCTTTGAGTGGCCATGAGCCACAATCACCGTGACTTTCTTGGAATCATCATGAATCATTAAATGACTTTGGGTCTGAGAAATCACAAGCTGACAGGTCTGAGAATCTCTCCCCAAGGCAAACAAGGTATACAGAGGAAGATTTTCGAGACGCTTCGTCTCGCGTGTTGGCAGGAGCTGTGTTCATCCAACTTATCCATTGAATGAGGCTCCGATCGGCGCTCCCAAGACGCACTCCCCCGCCATGGCGACCGTTTGGGCGCGGCGTCAAATGCGCGGCGCATGCTGCTGTGGTCGTGGCGACCTCGGCGCTTCTGGAGAGCTGGGAAGAGAGATGTGAAACAGAAAGGGTGTGTGGCAGGAGTGCCATGCAGTTGGGTTGCCGAAGGGAGTTAAGATTGTTTAATGTGTTTTTTTTTCTTTGTTTTGTTTTTTGTTTTTTAAGGATTTCTTTTTCACCGTTTGTGGTGTGGTGGGCTTGTGTTGGCTCTTCGTGGCTTTGATTGGCTTTTGGTGGCTTTGGCTTTTGGCTTTGGTGGCTTTGGCTTTTGTCTTCGGTTGCTTTTGGTTGGATTTCGTTGGCTTTTGGCTTCCGGTGGCTTTTGTTGGCGTTTTGGCTTCCGGTGGCCTTTGGCTTCTCGTGGCCTTTTTTTTCGGAGACGTGTCTCTGTGGCTTGTGGCTTCTGTAGCTTTTGGTGGCGGCTTTTGGCGTCCGTGGCTTTGGGCTTTTGTGGCTTTTGGCTTTTGTACGGATTAGGTTTGGAGACTTTTGGCTTCTGTAATGTTGACACGGGATTACGGATTAAGTAACCTCCGCTTGTTAATCAAGCCCAGCTCGAGCCCCCCAATACTAAACGAACTTAAAACCTGAATTCCGCATGTCCATTACTCAATCACTCTACTAAATGTTGTTCCTAGCAGAAACCTCCCCCTATTAATCAAGCCCAGCTGCCCCAGAAAAACATACTATTACAATGGTAGCCCATTATAGTTATTTACTGTTTACTTGCTTTTTGGTCAATATCCAATATCTTCTGGTCCATGGTGAAACTGATCTTTTGATCAACCCTTTTCTCATGCCATCTCCTTGAGAGATAGCATTCTGATCCACCCTTTTCCCATGCTGATTCTCTCATCCATCAATCATTCTTATCATGTATCCTATCAGATCTATCATATCAAATCTATCCTATCAGATCTCTTATCAAGCATGTGTCAATATACTCAGAGCTCTCATGGTTCTCATGGTTCAAACTCTCATGATTCACACAGAATCGCATCAACCATCATCCATCATCACGTCCAGGTCTTCATCTCATCATCCATCACGAGGTCATCACCTTTATTACTGTAAGGGGATGTGGTCTCCAATACCTCCAATCTCAAACATTATTGATCTTGTTGACCTTGAAGGGGGGGGTTGATTAATCCAGAGTTGACAGCTTTTAGCTCCTCTAGCATTTGGCTTTTGTTGCTCTTGGGTGCTGTGACTTTTCGCTTCTTTTCTTCTTGTGGCTGGCTTAGAGACTATGCTGCTCACAGTGCTGTGCTGCTCACGGCTGTATGCCCCGTGCTGCTGTGATTTGCCTCCCTCAGGTCTGCCTTTGGGGTCTCAGCTTTTGTGGTCCAGAGGCCAGCGCTGTCGTGGTCAGTGTCATGGTCGTGGTATGAACGAACTAGAGAGGGGACGATGTGTTTCCGCTCGTGTTGGTCACTTGCACCATCTTGCACCCTGTCAGATCAGACATTTCAAGGTGAAATGAAGTACATTCCCTGCTTGACACCAGACCTTGTTGCCGTAATGAGGCCAGAAGAGTCCGCAGCTGAGAGTCCGCTTCACATCTGGGAGGTTCTATCAGAACCTCCCGAAGGAAGCCATTGGAACTACCTTGGAGCCAAGAAACTAGCCCACACCCATATAGGCTGGACAAAATAAAATCTATAAATGATATCCTTTGATGGTGTACTACCCAAACACTACATGTCGCTGACGCATACTCGCAGCTCTCACACCCATCTTCGGATGGTCCGCTCTGAAGGAAAAGCATCCTGATGAATCGACTCCTCTCAGGCGAATCTGCGCGGAGGGCTCGCCCTCCGCTGCGGCCATGCAGGGCCAGGTGCGGTTTTCAGATCAGGGCACAAGGAGCAGTCAGGGCGACCTGGGCGTTTTAAAAGGATGAATCCTGCCCTTTCGGAGTTTGCAGATGTTTGGAGAGTCCCCGAGGTTCGCAGCATAACATGATATTCAAGCTATGCTTGAAGTTTGATGTAAAATGGTAGTAAATCCATTAGAGCCCAGAGAGTGGTCCTTTACCTATATCCTATACACATTCCTACCTGCTCCCCTTTTTCGCAGTATTTCAAACAGGTCGGGCTCTGTTGTGACAGCTCGGGTGACGTGCAGGTGACGAGGCCGGGCGTCGGCTGCTGGAATGGCTAGCAGAGGAGGCGGAAGACGACGACATCGTGGTGAAACAGCTTCAGTTGGCAGAGAACATTTAATGGCTGGTCGTTGAACACTTCTGTATTTTTGCAACTATAATGAAAAAAAACAGAAGTGTTGCAAAACAATGAAGTTTCATTGTCAATCATTGACTCATTGACCCCCAGAACGTCACTTTTCGGGTGACCCGCTGCGACGTTCGCCCTCGAGCACCGTCACCCGGGAGCACAGGGCGCCTATGTCTCGGAGGCCTTGGACGTGGTCACTGTCAGGGCCTCGGGGAGGTGGTGCAAGAGGTTGGTAATCATCAAATACATCTGAATCTACTAGGGGCTCCTGGCCTTACTACTAGGAGCTGCAATCATTACTGTATTTCATGTATACTATTGTATACTGTACCACGCCAAGATTTTTGTTGTGGTGCTATCAAGTTTGAGGCATCTGGGAAATCTCGTTGGCAGCGAGGCTGTTTTGATTCGATGGTTGCCAGGATTTAAGTCAGGCAGGCCTTTCCTAGCAGACTTAAGGGAATCTTCAATTCTATATATATCATGTACCAGGCGGGCCATCCGTGGCCAGGCCGGTTTCACCTTCTTGACGTTCCAGTTGTTCCAGGTGATGTAGGAATTGCATGGAATTGCTCCAACACAGAATGAGATCAAAATAACTCGGAGAAATCTTCCCTGAAGCTCCTGCCTGCGCCATCCATTAGATCAAGTTGCTCGATCGCTTTGTTTTGTGCGACAAAACATGAGCATTCTTCCAGTAGACAGTCCAGCCAACTTCTGGAAAATGAAGAAGTGGAGATCGCTACTAGGTTGGAGGCCATCGCTACTAGGGGCTCCTGGCCTTACTACTAGGAGCAAGAAGCTACTAGGGGCTCCTGGCATCGCTACTAGGAGCAAGGACGCTACTAGGTTGGAGGCCATCGCTATGAAAGGGGAGCTTTGGGCGGACCGAGGACCCCGTGCTGGGTCGTGAGCTGGTCGTCACTGAAGCCGTGGACGAAGCACAGGCACAATCGCTGGGCGGGTCGGGTGACGGTGACGGGGTCTTCTGATGCCAAAAGAGGCCAAAAGGGGTCGACCTCCCAGAGACATCAATGAACCAACTTGGGGTCTCAACTTCCAATGGAAGACCAACTTGAGACCCCAATGGAAAAAGAACAATGGAGACATCAATGGACCAACTTCCATGGACCATGGGTGTCTCCCGATGCTGATACAGCATCACAACTTCCGACCGGTTGACAGCATCACAGCTTTCCCTGACTTTTGCTGACCTCTTACAGCTCTGGAGGCCAACGACTTTCTGTTTGCAACCATTTGGAACCCGTGCGTTCGGTGCAGCCAAAGGAACGAACTTGTGAGAGTTCAGGGCTGTTTTTCTCATGGAATGGAGAAATGTTGGCTTGCTGCGTTCTGTAGTTATTTCATAGCTGCGATAGCTATATGAAGCTTATAGATATTCAATGATATATTATGATATATTAATATTCATATGTCTCAGTGATGACTGATTTCATGTGAATACTGAAATGGTGCACACGACAGAAGTTGCCGCTGCCTTTCCGTTTCATCTAGGCAGGTGTTCCTGCATCATTTGTGTTTTCTGCTGCCATCGCTATAGCTTCGGCTTTCTCTCCCATACTTTTTGTTGATTCTCAACATGTTTTACTTGATGTAATGATGTAGTTCTTGTTCTTGCGAGTCATTCTTCGTGAAGCAGAAGTCTAAAGTCTAAAGTCCCTTGAAGTTGCGGTCCCGCCTTCCCCAGTCACGGCTCTCTGAGTGCTCCTGTCCGACGGGGACCGCTGAGGAGCTGATCAAAGTGCCTCCGGAACTTTGCATCCCCGCGCCAGAGATGGAGGACTCATATGCACCGAGGGGATCCAAGCCTTTTGGCAGGTTCTTGCAGGCCGAATGTCAATTCAAAGCATGCGAACAAATTATTCAATCTTGAACATCCAAACGTTGTGAAGCCTTAATTGAATTGTGAACATACGACACTTCCAAGGAGGGTTCCTTTAGTTGAGGTTTCGAGGGTTGCCCTCCATCCAACAATCGAACAGAAATCCACCCTGTTTGTAGAGGAACACAATGATTTGTTTTATATAGAATGTCTATGAATGTGTTTCAAGAGGTAGAGGTTGTCCATCTTCCACTTGCATCTTCTTGGGTAGAAAAGGGTAAAGCCTGTCTTCCAAGGGATTTCTTTTTGGGAGACCAAGTCCACGCCCCACACACTGGAGGACCTCGACGAGGACCTTCGCTTGGCTTTGGGGCTGCTGGAGGCGTCCTGTCTCTTCTTCGGGAGGAGACAGGCTGACTCAATCTAATGACGGCCTCATGAGGTTAAGATATAGGTAAAAACAATTGACATCATATGAAAACATGAAGGGATCATGAAACAAGTTTGATACTTGTTGATATGTCTTAGGGTCTTGACCTTTGCTTTATAAAGTGAAGTACCCGTTGAGGGTCTCATGATGTCTTGTGTTTTTGCTTTTGCTATGTTCCTTCAATGCATTAATATCTTTCAGGGTTCCACGTAACTTGTGTAGGTACTAATGACTGCCCTCTACTTGGTTCAAATGTGGGGAATTACGCCCCTGCGCAGCATCAGGCGAACCGGGCACGCGATGCCGAGCCAAAACTCTCTTTGGCTCCTTTTGGGCGAATTCTTGCAGGGGGGCCACAAAATCACAAAGACAGATACAGTTTACTGCACTCACTGAGTGTCACTGAGGCCGCGAGTTCCTAGCCGATCATACTGACTGGGAACCGACGGATCTTGGATGATTTTGAGGATCTCTTTTTGGGGGGGTCATCATTGAGTCATCATTCTGTTCCTGCCCTTTTCGAGAGTCCTGACAGAAGAGCTGAACTTGGAGGATCAACAACATGAGGTACTCCAGATGAGCAACATGTTGCTTGATGCTTGGGTGTCATCAGTGCCTAGTCAGAGATCATTCTGGCTGTTCATGTTATTGTTTCAAGAGCTCGCCACTTTGTAATTTGTGTGCATGTAATTTGTGTACTTCTATTCACCCACCACACATGAAATCTTTAAAAAATAACCGGAACCACCAGAAGTGCCAACCGGTCTGAACCCATCTGGACATGCAGACCTCTTATATAAACCTCTGTGCAGGGATCGCCAATCATTCGTAGACCATTTCTGGAGGTCCTGGTAGGAGTTCTCTCGAAAGCGCAGGTTTGCGAAAGCCATTGGTGGGAGGCCCGGAGCTCTGCCCGGGAGGGGTGTGAGTTGCTGGATTTGGACCATCATCTCGAGCTGTTTGAGGCTTGAGCCCTCCACCTAGCCAATTTGTCCTGAGACTAAAGCCACAAGGTGGCAGCCTGCCCAACTGTGTTCTCCTTTTGTTTCGGGTCGAATGACTGAGTCCACATGCAAAAACTTCACCGTTTGCGCCTCTCTTCATTTGCCGTACATTGGTGCATGAAGACAATGCGACTGGCCATTCTACCTGCAACAAGGAGCGGATCAATTTGCTGGAGCTGTGTGTTGGGTCACTGAGTTGAGTACAAACGGGGATGCCGGTGTTTGTCTCCACCTCCCGCCCTGGCGCGCCGCGCATGTTTTTCCAAAAAAACCGTGACCCTGGAGGCCTACCGAGCGGTTTGGCCAACGGAGGCTGTGCTAAGAGAGATTCTGCCAGTGCCTGGGGCCAAATGAGAGAGCGAGCTGTAGGGAACTTATATAGGTCTAAGTCAAAACCTGGAGCCCTAAACCCTTGGTAGATTGACCATGTCTGGTAGTCTTTTCTGGTCACCTCGCGGACATGTGAGACATGGAGCAATGTCACATTCACACTGATCAATGATGGTAGTCTATTCTGTTCACACGCAGACGATCCAGTCAGGTAGGAAAGTCGCATCCACGACTCACAGATCGGTGAATGCACCACGAAGCCAAATTAAAGAGAGCTACAGAAATCGTTCGACAGGGAACGACCATGAATCAGCCGAGCGGCCAGCCCCACCGGCCAACACACGGCAGAATTTGAAAAGCTCGCCAGGGGCGAAAAATGGGAGAGCACCAACAAGTGCACCCTGAGGCAACACTTTGCCAATGCATTTTGTTGCCCTGGCTGTTGGTATCCCAGGAAGTGCATTGTGCGTCTTTGAGAGCACAACACAGCATTTACGCAACTTAAGGACAAGTTCTTGAAAATGTGCTTCACGGCATCTAAAATGATGTCCTCGAATTACAAACAGAAAGGCCAATTCCTGATAAGTGCACATCACATTGTCAGCTAGAAACCACTTAAGCGTCTTTCCAAAATTGACAAAGACTTGCCAATCAGAAGCAGAGAGATCAAGCTTGGGAGGGCAACTGGAATCCTCCGGCTTCCATGAAAAAGAAAACTCAGCTTCATTGTGGTTCCACGCAAGGCCCGGGTAGATCGTCTGGAAGTCAATCTCCGAGACGGCACTTTGTCGCATGGGCGTGTCTGTAAATGTATCAGAACACTCAAAGCCAATAAAGCGGTTCAAGTCCGTAAGGGTGCGTTGCTTTTGAAGTATTGCTGCCTGAAACATACCCTTGTCTTCAGCCGCAATAGTACACCGGGAGCGGGCAAACCGCTTAGCAACAGCATCTGCAAGCCGATTCAGTTCGATGTGCTTTCGTGTTGTGCCTGCTGCACGGATCACAGCAGCAGGTATCACTGAAACAGGTAGTTCATCACCAACATGCGAAGGAATCCACGTCAAGAGCAAAACAGGTCCACTGGTCAGCAGACTCCTAGCAGCTATGACTTTGTGCAACACCTTCCACCATTCAATGTGCAGGCAGTTCGTGGGAATATTGCCAGTTTGAACCATATGGTTAACCTGACAAACAACTTCTTTGCAGTCGCTGTAAATATGAAGTTTGCAGTCGGACTTCAAAGTAGCAACAATGACTGCCCACAGTTCTGCAGTATAGGAAGAAAGGCACAGGTGAGAAACTGTTCCAGCGTGAAACACCTTCCCCTCCTCGTCAATGATGGCATAACCTGCTGCCGTAAGTGGGAAGACCTCACCCCAAAGCA